CTCACTTAGTTGATCCAGCCACGATCCGTACATATTGCTGATTCCACTATCTCTCTCTTTCTACCACTATAACGGTAGCGTGGCGGAACGGCAACATGTTGCCGTTCCGCGTTCTACCACTATCTTTGTATTCTAATATGCGATGTTGCCGTTCCGACCGAGACCATGCGTTGTTGCCAAATGTATTCGTCGATAGTAGTAGATACCTATACTCGATATATATTTTTTCAACAATTTCCTGCAATAGTGAATCCGTATCGGCAAAATTTTTTAAATGCACAAAGATTTTTTGGCTCTGAATATATTTAAAAATCATTTACTTGTGTGTTGATGAATTTATATACTAGTACATGAAGTACCTAATACTGGTTTTGATTTGAATAGGTAGCGATATTATGAATTTATTATACGTAATCTAAAAATTTTGACGAAATAAAAGTAATTAGTTATCTGTTAACCTTGACTTCATGCTGGCACCAGTATTATCAGATGATGAACATACTCTTCGAAAACTTACAGCAGAAATATCGTGTTTGGACTCATTAGATAGGTCTCGATGAATAGAGTTTAAAAAACTTAAAATAAATGGTAAATTAGAAATAACGTATAAATACCCCTTACGTAAAATTCAACCACTTTAAAACTTAATAATAATAATTAAGAAAAGAGCAAAGCTATAAATGCACTGAAAGTAATTGATGCCTTCCATACAATATTTTCAGTATTAAACAACTCTGTTTGTTCAGTAAAAGTGTAAATACACTGGTAACCTTTAATCCTATTTTATATGCAAACATTACATATGCAAACCCTAAAGTTTTATTTCAGAATGGCCAGTAGTTTTGAAGAAATAAGTCTTTGAAATTGTACGTGTAACTTATATATATACTAGTTTTTTCACCATAACAAGTAACGCCAATATGGCCTAGTTAGTAGTGTACCTGTGTAACAATACCACATTACCACACAGACACTCCGAGTTCGAATTTCTTTACGTCCGTTTACTTTTATTATTTATTTTTTGTTTTTTTTTTTAATTTAATATTTTAATAATCAATTTAATTTATACGACTATTAATTTATAATAAAAACGCAGTTAAGCATTAAATTAATTTTACTAGTTAGGAATGTACCTGTGTACCAACTTACCACACAGCCATCCTGGGTTCGATTCCTACCATTGGCTTTTTTTTGTTTTTTTTTTTAAAGTAATATTTAAAATTAACTATTTTAATAATTAAATGAATTTAATCGATAAAAACGTCGTTAAGTATTAAATTAATTTTAAGTGATATTAACTATTATATTACGCATAAAAAATATTTTGTGATAATAAAGAAAATACATTAAAAATGTTTTACTTGTTGTGTTAATTATTTATAAGATCTTACTATAATTGTTAGCTGCTTTACAATTTAGAAAGTATAATAGGTAATGTAAATTAAAATTAATTTAATACTTAACAACGTTTTGTTCGATTAAATTCATTTCATTATTAAAATAGTTAATTTAAAATATAAAATAAAGACAAAACAAAAAAAAAATAACAAAAAAAAAATTGGTGGCGGGAATCGAACCTTGAGCATCCGTTTGGTAAGTTATTTGAAATATATTATTTCTTCGAAATTACTGGTCATTTTGAAATAATACTTAGGGTTCGCATACCCTTATCGGATACTACTACTACACGGAGTCTCGTCAAAATAAAATATCTAGGTTAGGTATAATAAATTCATAATTAATAGACCAAAAGAACGAGTATATAAATTGATATTGATTTTTGAAATATATTCAGAGCCAAAAAGTCTTCTTTCTTTATTTATGTACTTGTTAGATGCGACAGCGACTTTGTTTTATACTATACTATGTAATGATTGATATACCTAAAATAAATAAAATATCTGAGGTTTGGACAAAAACTCAAAAGGTAATTTATTCTGTAAAAGTATTTTGAAAATACTTATTTTGCTTTTAGTGTTATAGTACTTTAAGTATTATATTTTAAGTAACAATGTTTAATTATAATTAATACTACTGCAACAACACTCCGACGTGCAAAAAATTTTGCTGTTTCATTATTTTTTAGTTCAATTAGTTGTCTATCTAAGTCCTGGGCTAAGCGGGGGGAGAGTCATGACCCCCCATGACTCCCAAGACCTCCATGACGCTCCCCCCTAGATCCGCTGTTGCGTCTTCTCTTCATTCGCTCAGTACGTTGTTACAAAAGGAAAAATTCCCGTCTAAAAAATAACAAGTATTGAGTTTTGATCTGGAGTCACGTTACTCCAGACTGATTTCTATAAATATTTAGATTAGATAGACTATTATTCTTGAAATACTAGCTAGACATTATTAAGTTACTGTAGCCATAATGTAGTAGCCCAAACGTGCCAATGAGGAAGCCCTTGGCAAATGCTGCACCCTGATTGGCCCGTTTGAATTGGATCAAGAACTGCTCGTATGCCAAAAAGGTGGATTTGTATAAAATCGTGTATAAATCGCTTAATTATTATTATTACCCGTCGTGACAGTTGTGGCTCAAAACGGATCAACATTTATATATGGTCAGCTGGCATTAGATCAACAAAAGGCCTCCGGATCAACAAGTGAAAATGGATCAACAAAAAACTACCTATACGGCACGTCTGAGCCACAAAGTGCCCAAGGGGATATTTATATATATATAATAGATGTATAGATAATAGGCTTGTCATATTCCTACCCTATAAGATAAAATATTATATCCTGTGAATTTTAATGTTTTATGTAGTAGGTGGGTAGAGATAATAGCAAAACAAGTAGGTACTATCTACAATAAAATGGTGTGATAGATATTATTTAAACACAATAGCTTAGTTACAAGAAAACAATCAGATTCGTTGTACCTATCTCTTCGTAATGTTTGCATAACCATTTTGTGGGTAACATTGTTACAGTCTATAAATCATTACAAAACTAATAAAAATATATTTTAAAATTGAAAATTGAATAAATAAAAAAAACTATTTTAATACTAACAAGATTCTGTAACCAACATTGTAGATGCATTCAAGTGTATTTTAACAGATACATGATGTTTTTAGATTTTAAATAGTTTATTTTTAATTAAAAATAGTTTACTAATGTTGGTTATTGTGTCGAACTAAATAATGTTGATATTTTATTACGTAACGTACGCCAGTTCCACTACGAATGTCTATCTTTACTAATTTGTTCTATACCAGTAGGGTAGCGAGGGGTAATAGCGCTCCCCAGGTAATGGCGCTCACTTCTGTAACTCTATCAAAATGGAATGTAGTAACACGCCACGTTGCTTAAAGCACGAGGATAGGTAGCCTCTAAAAGACAACAATGCAAACATACAGTCAGCTCGCGTCATGTGATTGTGAGGTGCGGATTTTCGTTTGTGGCCAAACTGATTTAATTTTTGCATAAGTTTTTTATGATGGTAAGTCTAAAATTTTAATGCTTATTTAATTATTAAGTATACTTTTCTGATAATAAAACTATTTTATTTTATGGTAATGTAATCAATTTTTAGCAATTGATTTTTTTAAATTTCTAATTAATTACAAAATGACTGGTTGGGGGTTGGTACCGCTCACTTGAGCGCCATTATCCCTTGTGACTTATTTTTTTTATTGTTGTAGATATGCTAAGAAAACGTCAAAGGATCTCCGCTAAAGTTGTAAAGACCGAAAAAGACCTTCTATCAGCTAAAACTATAATTGAAATAAGTTTGTCCAAAAGAAAGAAAAAAAAACAAGCTAAAAAATATTAAACAACATTTTAGATGAAAATTCTTCAGATACTGAAGATAAAAAGCACCTTTGCGATAATGACAGTGACGACACAATGAATGTGGATGATAGAAATTATAACAAATGTATTATTTAACAGGAATTTGGAAAAAATATGAATTCTGGTACCGCTGCACCATCTGCGGGCTGTGGGCTCATGCTATAAGTTCAGGATGGAATTCGCAGATAGATATGTTATTTATGAACCAAGGATAAAATATTTTTATTTCTAATTTCTCTTACCTGTAATTATTATTATTATTTTATATTATATTACAATAATTGAAGTTGATTTGACATCTAAGCCTGTATTTATATTTAGCCTATATTTATTCAATTGAAAAAGGCTAATTTTACGTAGAAATGGGGATAATTGAGGATTGTAGATTTTACTTTTATTATATAAGATTGATCTTATGAATATTTCTTTAATTAATATATTTTAGTGGTTATTAGACATTACCCCGTACCCTGAGCGGCATTACCCATAGTCAGGGGCAATGCCGCTCAAACATAGGTAGAATAAAGTTATATGCTTTTGATGTTAAATTGTTGGTTACTCGAGAATTAAAGACTTTGTTACTTTTCTTAATTTTGATTTCCAATAAATAATTTATAAAATACACCATGTTTTCCTAAAGTGAACTCCCCTACTACTTACTATACCGATTGCTACAGCACAGTTGCCTTTGTAAGTTGTGCCTTTTGAATTTGGATCATTGTGTTTGTAACCTACTCACGTCGCTCGCTGAACTAAAGGGATCAAATGGTTAGGATAAGTGAGACACCTTAATGAATCAAATAAAGATGCTTTTTCTCTACATTATTTTAACCGATTTCAGAGAGCTCTTCGTTTAAAAAATTTGTTAGCTTTTTTCCCTTTTGTTTAAAATAATTTCTAGGTCTGATATTTTTTTTACAATCGAGTTTACTATTATATATGTTACATATTGGTTTAATATTTACCGTAAAAACACAAAGCCTCATAGTTTTTTATATACCTATTACTTTTTAATACATATGAAATATGTCTAAGTTCTTTGTAATAAAAAAATAAAATATTGTTATAACCAACGGCATAATACGTGTTTTTGCCTTTTTGTTTATTGTGAAAATTATTTACATTATTGCATTATGGCTAACGCGTACAAGGGCGTATTTTCGTGAATCCTCTCTTTATCGTCTTATTGGCCGTTATATCTAATTTTTTCTCTCGTCCGTGTCCGCCCCGCTCTGCCGTCTATACGGCGTGAACATCTTCCCCCCCTCGAATACGTCCAGGATTCGAGAGGTTACAAATGAGCTTGAAGAAGTCGGTAGAAGACAAACTTTCGCAACTGCTCGACGCAGGATGCCCTTAGCAGTATGAGCATCGATAACTCTTGTAACGCCATCTGAGCCGGGATAAAGACGACTAACTCGTCCTACACGCCATTGTAGTGGAGGTAAATTGGGGTCCTTTAAGACAACCATGTCTCCTTCTTGAACTGAATTTTGCTTCGTCTGCCATTTGCTCCGTTGTTGTATTTCACTGAGGTACTCATGTCGCCACCTTTCCCAGAAATGCTGCCGGATACGTTCAAGTTTTTGATATCGATCCAGGTGGTTAACGTTAATATCCAGAAGAGCAGGTGAAGGTAATGATGTAAATGCTCTGCCAATCAAGAAGTGGCCAGGGGTAAAAGGAGATAGGTCGTTAGGATCAGTTGACAGTGGAGTTAGGCGACGGGAATTAAGGAGAGCCTCAATTTGAGCAAATAAAGTAGACAACTCCTCGAACGTCAAATGTTGATTTCCCAAAATTTTAAGTATGTGAAATTTAGCGGACTTCACGCCTGCTTCCCAGATCCCTCCAAAATGGGGGGAATAAGCAGGTGAAAATTTAAATTTAATGCCTTCACTAGCGGCATATGTGTAGATGCGTTCATTGCTCGACTTGAGAAAACTATTAATTTCATTATTAGCACCTATAAAGTTTGTACCATTGTCGCAAAATAATTCACTTGGCTTCCCTCTACGAGAAATGAATCGTCTTAAAAACAAAATAAAAATATCTGTAGTCAAATCACTTGCTACTTCGAGGTGTAAGGATTTTGTGGCGAAACAGATAAAAAGACATAAATAACATTTAGTTATACGACAGCCGCGACCCTTACGATCAGTTATTAAAAATGGCCCAGCAAAATCAACACCACTTATTTGGAAAGGAAAATTTTGCGTCACGCGTGGAGCAGGTAAGTTGCCCATTATTGGATTATTACTTTTAGCCTTTAGAATTCTACATAAGACACTTTGTCTTATCGAATTGCAAGTTAACCATAATTCGTTTTTTAATTAAAATACGAGATCATTACAAATATTTTAAACAGAGAGCTAAGTCTATTATGAGTAAAAGTCCGAATATAATTCTGAATTTAAGAAAATTTTCATATTTTAATTGCACGTACATGGTACATAATATAACAAGATAATATTTTATTTTATATTAACTCATAAAGTAAGATATTACTGTCAATCTATTCTAGTTCTTGTACTTGTCTACTGCATTGTGGGAACAGTCTGCGACATTCGTCGAGTGCAATTGTTGATAGATCGACTAGAAGAGTACCTAAGGAATTTATTATTATTATATTAGGTAACAAAAGACCTCTCATCTCATAATTTTCGTTAACATCTGTTCGTCCCTTGTGACATCTTTCCTCAATTTTTTACTCTAGTAAGAATGTTATATATTTTTTAATGTCTGTATATCAACATGATAATAAAATATTAAATTTAAATTCATTTTAAATTCATATTTATTATATTCCTACTGTTTAATTTACAAGTTTAAAATAGATAAGATCTATCTATATAATGAATCAACAGCAGATAACTTATTACAGAGCATTAATTATATGCCATGAATATAGGTCGTGATACTGCAATAATTTGCAGATGAATCTATTCACCAACGGTTTATAATTATATTTTATGTCAAAGGCTCTGTCCATTTTTTTTATATAGATACCTACTTATAATTTTATTAACTATGTAGAGTAAAACGTAAGATTTAATTAAATTCTGTTGCCACTATGTAAGTAATAAAATAATTACTTTATATTGTCTTTATATATGTCTGTCTTCTATTCATTTGCATTTGTATTGCATTCAGTGCATATTCTCTTTCTGTGTTCTAAACCAACTGCGTGCAGTTGACGAGTTACAAAACAACTTTTTCCATTGTCCCCCACGTGTTGTACTCTTTTATTTCTTGAATAAATTGCACACTAATATAAGTTTATGAATTCCGTTTAAGTATAATTAATAAATTGTATAATGTAACATTAATATTCTGAAAGTGAACGTATGTTTATTAAGTTTTAACATCATGAAATTTGGTATTTGGGACAGAGAACATAAAGGTTGTTTATCGAAGTCACTTTATTGATCACAATCACACATCTGAGTTAAGGCTAAAAGCCAACCATAGGTAAATTTTATTTGAAATATATTAGTAGATTTTATACTATTTGTATTTAATATATATATACTTTTATTATTATATTTGAAGAGATGAACTAATGTATAGGTACTGTAAATTACAGGTAATAACAAATTTTTTGTTATAGCACAGGGCACAAACGATCATGCGGCTCACCTGATGGTAAGTGATTACCGTCGCCCATGAGTACTGGCAATGAGTGCGTTGTTGGCTTTTTAAAAAGGAATGAGTTCTTTTATTGATGGTTTCAATGTTAAAAACCATTGTTGGATGGTTTGGCACTATGGACGACCGCCATTCATCCAGATGATCAGGATGGTATTTTAGTTACTGGCGTGGGTATCTAATTAGCTGTTAGACTTTTGCTGCCTATAATATCTAATAGATAAGAGGCAGAGTCATAAATTTAAGGTTTAGTTAATTGACCTCTTTGCAAAATGTCATAGGCCCTCTAAATTGTTTTTTTTCCTTATGTGAAGAATAAAATAATGTATATTTACTTATGCATATACGAGTATAAAGTTATCGTTATTATAACAATCTTACATCTTTGTAGTAGAATAAATTTGAGAACATAATAAGCTCTACATTATATTTGTGCCAGTCTAATTAAAAGCTTGTAACTAATAAGCTATGATACTCGTTATATTGTTTAATATTATTAACATTTATTTGTATTTTTTTCTACACTTTGTACCTATACACCAATTTATTATGGAAGACATAAATGTAGATAATATCCCAATAATTGTAATTCTTTCCATTTATAAACCAATGGCTAATTATTAAACTTAAAAAGTTGACAAAAGATGACAAATTTCTTGGGAAATTAATATTTCTACCTCTTACAGACATTTTATGTACATTTATTAAAAATATATTTTACCTATTGTTCATCAATAGCTTTTTTGCTTAATTATTATTACCGTTAGCATCATTTTCCCTATTTTATATGAATATTCTAATAATGAAATATTTTATTGTGGTTTCCAAGTCAACAAGTAATCAACAACACTATGTTTCTCGTATGATATACATAAGTAATATTATCTTATATGTGATATAAGTAACAAATTTAATATATATTGAACTAACTACCGCGTTAATAAATAACTTTGAATCCACTTTATTTAGGAGGCAATAACTGACTTACTAACTAACTGAACGTCAACTATTGGAAAGTTCGCTCTAACTACGTAACCACAACTATTTCGTTTCAGCTATGAAATTTTGTCGGAAGTAGTACTGCTGGATAATTGGAAGATAATTAATTGTTATATTTTCTAAAGCGCTACAAGTTTTTTTGATTTATTAATAGCACACACAACATAATATAATAGTGAAGATTATTTTATTTCATACACTATACGTTGCTTATACGTTATATGTTACATATATTATATATTAGATACTTGATTTTATCACACGATACAAGTATCTAATACACGACACGACATGAAGTTCTACTAAAATAACAAAATATTATTTTTTAAACTAAATACTGAACTGAACTGAACTGGAAACCTAGATTGATTGAATGTTTTATAATACCTAAAGTTTGTATTTAAGAATGTATTGTACTACTAATAAAATATACCTTTCAAATATATATATAAAATGATTTTGGTTTGTAACTCTTATACTAATATAGTTTAATTATGTAAAAAACTAATTCTACTTCGAACTATACAAAGCAATGGAGATATTATTAAATTATAACTTCCTTATAAATGAGTAGATTTATAAGAGAGTTATAAGAAACAATCAATGTAATTTTTATACTGTGAGTACTAGAGAAAATTATATCATATTTAATTATTTTCTGACATACTTAGGCATGTATTTCGTTTAACAAAATTCAAAAAAATTATGGTAGGCAAATGGAAAATTAATAATTAATTAATTATTATCTGTTATTTAATATGTTTTTTTGATAATTAGGATATAATCTAGGTAACAATTTATTATTTACAGATTGGTACGAGTCCATTTTCGAAATTGATTTAATGCTTTTAGTTTAAGTGCACTCAATACTCGATACAGTCCATGAATCGGCATCGAAATGAAATTTTCGTCCTACATAATGTTATCAGTTAACTTACTTAGATTCTGTTGAAATATTTTCTCCGTTTCTTTCACAGTAGAAATTTTTTGTAGAAATAAGCTGGATTTATTAGTGTTATATACATTATAGTAATAGCTGAGTAAAACAATACAGTCTTATTCATAAAAAACCTACGCCATTTGTGTCACCTATTGGTCCCATTGTTAATAAAATATAGGTCAGGTAGATCTTCCAGCCGCCTCGCTGGGAACCATCCTGATTAGTTCCTGATAATTTGGTCATGAACTAGCATGACTTCATCCATTCATTATCTTCCACTAGTATCGCGATAGAGTGTGCCTTCAGCGCAGACGAGTACCATTACCTATTGGTCCCATTGTTAATAAAATATAGGTCAGGTAGATCTTCCAGCCGCCTCGCTGGGAACCATCCTGATTAGTTCCTGATAATTTGGTCATGAACTAGCATGACTTCATCCATTCATTATCTTCCACTAGTATCGCGATAGAGTGTGCCTTCAGCGCAGACGAGTACCATTACCTACATATTTATCCATTATTAAAAAAACCTTATGTATGTAGATACTCTTGTCTCTATACGTCCCTATGTAGGTTTTTGTGTTAAGGTTATTCGTATGTTATAGCTGAACATAAATTGTTTGAATTGAATCGAATAGCCTGCTCGTAATATCGATCCCTGTAGGTAATATAAGCACATGTTTCTTTTTTACGTGTCAGTTAATAGATGGGTACGCTTTGTTATTGTTTTTTCGTATTAGATATTATGAGGAAGTAGAATTACACCACAATTGTCAAGTGAATTTATATCTTTTACTTGTTGTGCACAGACGGCCCGTTCCATTAGGTTAAGGCCATTCGTTTCTCGTATTTCGATATAGGGCGGGGCGTAGCAACTTGATAATGTGAAGCACATATGAACTCCACATGTCGGTAAGGGCTCTAATCTTATTTATACGCAATAATTTACCTATAAAGTACTAGTTTTAAAGTAAGCAAATATATATTTAATATAAAAAATAGTTGATATTTAACACGTTAAACCCGTCACCATACAGATGACTGTACTAGTAGACATAAGAATCCTTTATGTACCAGACATAAAAACTTCTTTGTATTTATTTTAAATTTCGAACGCGCTTCGCATTCATTTGTTTTAAGAATAAAAAATATTGTTAGAGATGTGAAAATTCCATCATGGCGTTTCATTTATCTCCACAAATTTTTAAGTATGATTTATACACTTGTCATTCCTTCGATATATCTCTGTAAGAAAGGTTATATATGACTTCTGAAAGGCATAAAAACTAAATGCCCACAAAGATAGTCTGTTGTCTTGTCTTTAAGATACATATATTATTCTCCTAGTATCAGAAAGAACACGTAGTGTTGTTATTGCCACAGTTATAAGTACCTAACTAGAAAAAAAAACTAGAAATGTATGCCGCGTTTTATGTGCAAAAAAATATTTTTTGGTGATAGTTATTACAATGTAACCTAAGATAATATGTGAGTTTATAAAATATACACTGGCTACATTAATTGTATTTCATTCATGTGGAAATAGAATAATATACTAAGGGCATACTCTCGTTGGATTCGCTTTCAATTCGCTTTGGGATTTCGGTAGATAAATATCAATTTTACTGACTACTGTAGGCTATTATTATATCTTACTTTA